GCCAATAGGAATGAGAGCCTGAGCTCCTCGTTCCCAACAAGCGGGTGGTAGAGAGTGGCAATGGAGGATGCCCAGGGGGAACCTTAGTTCCCTCTGTTGATGTCCGACATTTCCAATTTTGTACAAAGAGGTACATATACCATGCTAGGATAGGTCCACGGTCTCACCTGTTTCACACGGGCCTTGCACGCAACAGAACAATGCTTTTGCGATGATGCAGCATTTCTCAAAGTTAGGGCACACCCCGTTTGGCACCTTTGTGTGCCGAAGGGTGCCGAGATGACCTCCCTTCGGGGGGGTGAGACTTTCGCACCCTTACCTGCAGGCTTTCGTCGTTTGCTATGGCCGCCACTGTCTGAACACTACCAACTACTATGCCTCTTGACTTGTATGTGCAACCAGTTGCATGGGTTGTGCTACAAGAAAGGAATTTTCCACGGCATGATCTGCATAGCAACCTCTGATCCACTTAGATAAGGATCTGACCTGCGTTAGAGCATACCAATGCCCGGGACTTGCATTGTGACCAGGTTTTTGCCACTCTGTGCAGTGGCCGCTGGTCACTGGTAATAGAGAAGTGAAGTCCATTTGACGACTTCGTTGAGATTTCGCTAGAGCACAAACAATCGCTGCCATGCTCTTCTTTCGAGAATTCAGGCCCATAGATAGTCAACAGTCAGCGTCTCACTTGTTTCACCCTAGTACAGAGGAAATACTACAGGATGGTGGAGGCTCGGCCTTTGGGTTGTGGTTGGTTTTGGTTTTTTGTTGTTGGTTGGGTTGTCTTTGTCCTCTTCTCCACCATCTGATTGTATTTCCCTCCCTTCAATGATGACCTGGGCACCATGCCCACACGGCGTCCGTACTCGTGGAAAAAAAACAGTACCACCTGTGCTCTACGGTACAAGGTGGCTGCACTTTTTTTTGCACGGGTAGGGGCGCTATATGTGTGCCGAGAGGCACAAGTCACCGTGTCGAATTCGTATGAGGGGTGTGAGGAAATGAGCCTGACCAAAGAGAGCAAAGGAACCAAACCAAAACACCCACAAAACAACCCAAAACACACACAAAACAACCAACAGAAGCCAAGCAGATCAGGCTCATGTCCGCTCTAGTCTTAAAAAGCAAAAGGTGCAGATCCGAAGACCAACACAGAAGTGAAACGGGGCGATGAATTCTTTTCAAGCCGCTCCCAGTACAGGACGTCCAGGACGAAACTGCATTCTGCTTATTGGCAGGAAGGTATCCCACCGAAGGTGCACTGCGTATACGTATGCATGATCTTGCTGAAAGCAAGAGTGAGGTTCGAATCAGGTTCTTTTAAGGTCCATGCGAAGCTGGGCACGGCGCAACTTGTATCAAAGAATGCGTACGCGCCAACGACCATGTGAGTATTTTCAAGGTGACCAATACTGTGTCAAGAACTCTTCACACCTGCGAGACAAAATTTTAGTCTGCTCGTGTCTTTGGCTTGGTCATTGCGCAGCCTGGGATGCTTGTCGGGGAACAAGGGAGGAGCGACAGCGGGCATTGCAGCCTCGCAGCCATGTGGAGCAAAGACCCTGGACTAGCGAGAGGTAGTGGGAGGTTCAGGATTGATGGTACAAGGTGGCTGCACGGCCATGTCCTGGTGCTTCCCAACTTTCGCAGGGGTCTGTGGTGTGCGACATTAATGTCGCAAGCTCATGCAGACTTGACGTGTGACCTGCAGCAACCTCTGTGACCTGCCCACCATACCGATCAGCGGGTGCCAAGGAGGGGCCATACACACACGTCCCATTTACTCGCTGGTGAGTACAATGAAAGGTTGGAGTGGTTGGGCTGCGGAAGAGCTGGAAGATTATCGCCAGCAGCTCCTGGCCATGGCTGCTCCGCCGGAATGTCCAACTGAAGCCTCGCAAGGTGGGTCCCTGTTCACCCCGCTCATTGGAGTGCCAATGGAAAACTCGCTCGACTTGGTGGTAGTGTGGGCATTGTGTGGCACCTTTGCCGAAAGGCGAGCAAGGGGTCAACAGTGTCCAGCAAAGTCTGGCTGCGATCAAATGGCCCAAGCGTGCTCACCCAGGAGCCCTCACCAAAGCAGGCCAAGAACGCACACCCTGGCTCACTAGGCCCGAGCTACCTTTGAACAAGGCTGCTTGTCAGTGCTGCCTCACCTGGAAGGACCTTGCAAAGCAACTTCCCTTCCGGGTGAACATTTTTTTCAAGCAAGTCGAACAGCGCCAAACCGGATGCGACCCATTTTTCATGCCTTTGGTTGAGCAAAAGTAGATGCACCTGCCCAGCTGGTTCGACCAGCACGCCAAGGTTGGGAAACCCTTCCTATCGCGCTTTTAGGCATGCCACATTACCCTGCAGCGTGGTCCCAGGAAGCGTGGAGTTGCGCGGGCAGCCGGCAAATCGCACTCTCGCCTGCATTTTTCGCCGCGCACTCGACACGCACGATCTCCGAACTCACTGGAATCCCATGAAACGAACGAATCACTGACCGTGCCTTGCGGTAACCGGCAGCCTTAGATTCTCACTTCGTGTCCCTTCACGATGATTGGTCACCTAGAGCATGCAGAATGTTCTAGTCACAGGTTCTTGGAGGTGTTACGAAGGAGTTGATGAGATCAAAGCTGTTTCAAGGTCCAAACCCACCAGACGATGCCCGTGTTCAATTCCATTTCTCGCTTGGACTGCCCGCGCAGGATGCTGTGGAAGAGGTGAAACCGGAATTTGGCTGCACCAAAGCAGTGAAGCCAAACACCTGGAGCATTCACGGCATCCTTCCAGTGATTTTGGAGCTTAGAGTTAATTGCTCTGTTGATACCCCCAAAGCAGGCAAAGCATCTACACGCCCTATGTGCTGGTGAATATGCCGTGGGTGCACAGATGTGAAGAAGAATCCACATGCTGTTGCTCTGCCAGGGTTCCAGCTTAGTCCTCGATATGAATGGAGCTGGACTCGTTTGAAATCTGGCCATTGAAGCGCCAAGAGGCAGCATTTAAGTGGCCTTTATATATGTACGGACACCCGGGATGATGGCATCCTTTGAGCACCAAGGAGGTGCTGCCCAAACACACGAGATCGCACGAGGCATCCTTGCATCATCTTCCGAAACGCTTCCACCAATACGTTATCATTGAATGATCCAGCTTAAACACCTTCCAAGCCCCCGGAATATTATATCATGCACACAAGTGATGCTGCAAAATGATCAGGGGAAGCATGGTATCAAGATGGCCTCGAAATATGTGCGAAGGCAAAGATAATGTGACATTCTTGAGCCCGAACCTAAAAGCTTGGCTGGAACATGGAAGACAATGACTGCAGAATGGCATGCATGCCACGAGCTATTGGACATTATCACCTCACAAACAACTTTTTAATGCTAGTGCACGTGATGGGTTCAAAGCTCCACAGTGATCAAGATCGTCCAAGAGGACCGGTGCTTTGTGGAGTAGGACAGGTCCAAGGCTTCGTCATTTCCGATGCTACAGTGACTGGGCCGCTTTGGCTCAAGGGGGTCCTTTTCGAGGTGAACATCACGTATGAAAAGAGAGAGAGAGAGAGAAGGGCACAGTACTTCAAGAGAAGGCACAGTAGATGGTTTAAAGAGATTCACCCAATATGTTTGTGCCAACAAAAGCTATGTAATTTTAGCAACGCAATATGATCTTGCAATCCTGCTTGATAGAAGCACGCAACACAGTGAAAGAACACTCCTCCGAGGGCCTGTGAAGGCCCAAAACTCCAGTGTCTCCAGCGGAACTCAAGTACCTTTACTGCGTTTGAGCTGAGCTGTCAGCAGAAACTAAAGCTGAAATGCTGAAGGAAAGGCTACAGCTGTAGGCCAGGCCAGTGACCAATTGGGGAAAGGACAGCCTGTCCACCTTTAAAGGATCGAAACTCACTCACAAGCTATGCCCTTGCATGTTCTTATGAAGCGCTGGCGTAGACACATAGCAGTTGAACACCCAGTGAGAGCTGTTATTTTTGTTCACAAAATACATAATTTTCTGAATGCTGGCTGCAAATTTGCACTCTCATCCAGATGATGGGAAGCAGAGATGCTGGCCAGGTGACGTTGGAAACGGGTGAAACCCTTCTCAGATGCTGCATTCCAGAGCGAAACGGGTGGACACCTCACACCGGTCTTGAGTCGAAACTGCTTTTGGAATCCTAGACAGACGAGCATGAGCTCCCGGCAATCACTTGAAGTTTGCTTTGGGAAGTCGGGTGAAGGCGGACGCGAAAACGAGTCAAAGCAACCCCTGCCCGCCCCACGCACCAAAAAGAAGGATAGACAACGGGAAAGAGTCTCTTTGTGCAAGAACAGGCGGCTGCTCGCCTCAACTTGAACCATGGCGCAGAAGCTCCCGAAAACGTTTGGACGTGGCGGTGAACATGTTCATCGTGGTTTTTTAGGGCTTTTGTTTCCTTGAGCAAGAGGTCTTGGCAAGCCGGAGCTGAGCGAGGCTTCTGCAGGTCTCAGCAGGCGGCGAACTCAGACCATGACCTTCACCATGCCAGTGGCTGTTGTCCTTGTTATTTTTTTTGGTGTTGCCTTCTCGTTTGCCTTTGCCCTCTGAAGGAGCTCCGGGACGGTGCCAAGACAAGTTGTTCAGCCTTGTTCAGCGGGAAAAAAAACACTGAAAAAACAACTGAGTTCCGGGCTGCAGTTGGGTGATGTTCTTATATAGCACTTCAAGCGGGATCAGTGCAAGCAGCGCTGTAGCCGGGCTGTAGCCGTAGCCAGATGATTCCTTACCAGATGTTGTGGCCGGAGAATTCAATTGGATGCAGTGAGCTTTGATCTATCCTTTTCTTGCCTGGTTGCGTGTGAACAGGCTCATTTAGAGCTAGGAAGGAGAGTCGCAGAATATCATGGACATGGGCTACATGGCTCATGGGATTTGCGGATGTGCGGACCCATTGGGGCAGGAGATGTTCTTTCATCTCAAACCATCCACTTCAAACAAACAAGCCATTCAACTCAGCAATGCCCAAACGACACACTCTCACCACGCCACCGGCGATGCCCACTCGCTTGGCCCTGCATGTGCTTCTCGCGGCCTTCCACGTGGTCCGCGGCTCCGTCTGGGCGCGTGAAGACCGCGGTCTCAGCGCTTCCACGGACGTGGGCGACGACTCCGAGGACTGGTTCGAGGAGATGCTCGGGCGCAGGGTCGCCGTGCCACGGTCTTTCAAGGCGTCACCGATGACCCTCGGCGCCAGCCAGGCAGGATTGTTTGTACTCGATCAAGTAGTCTGTTTGTGGTATTCTCTTGTGAATGAGACAGGGGCCTTGATGACAACATGTGTTACTAAAGTAGTGAACGACATATTGTGAAGATGAACACTTGTGATCGTACTATATAAAGTAGTCTAATTGGTAGTCTAAACAAGCTGGGGGGCCTCGAAATTGATAGTACATTGGAGTTTAGTACCAAGTAAACGAAATTCCCTCGCTCCGATAGCGGCAGATGGTGTGCCTCAACCGATGAGCTGTGAGCGATGATTCAGAAAGACAACCATAGGCAGTTTTCATGGTTCTATGAGGCCAATCGACCTGGGCCTCTTTTTCACGACTTTTTCCCTTGGTGCCAACTAGGCACCTGCCAGCAAGACTATCCGGACTATCCCGGTTGCTCTTTTTGTTCGTCAACACACGCGCTCTCTCTCTGTTTCTTCTGTGCAACAAGCACACTGCACGGCCCTGCACGGCGGAAGGCGCTCCGCAATCATGTGAAGTCCTTCTTTCACGCGGCGAAGTTGTTTTGGGCGGAGCCCGAATCCCGAAGCGCTTGAAGCGCTATAGAAAATGTTGTTCTTTTGTAACCGTTAGTAAACTCGCACGAGAACCCCAATGCTTGGGGGGGGTTTTTGGGGTTCCCGCATTCTCTTGTGGATGTGCACAAGTTCTAGGCACAAGACTATGCTGTACAGAAGCTTTGCTGGAAACTATGCTAGAGCGCTGTGTTTGGCACTTTTGTGCCACTAATATGTCGCTATGATGCTATATTAGTCTTATAGACAACGAGTTTCTTCGCGCGATGGTCTGGGAGGCCATGCGGGCTATGCACCAGATGCGGCGCTTGCAGCTGGAGGTGCGGCGCCGGTCGTACGTGGGGCATCCGCTGGGAACGTACCGTCTCGGGTCCTGAGAGATGGCTCGTCCCAAGCACTTCGGAGCTCGTGCTCTTGTTTGGGCGCCGACGTGCGCCGACTTCTTTGGAGCTCAGCTCATGTTGGTTTTGGGGCGCGAACGTTGCTGGGCAACGTCCCTGTCATGGGGACAATGTTGGAGTTCAGCGAAAGCAGGATGCCCGGTTTTCCCTTAAAAAGAGGAGCCGCCAGCTCTATGGCACATGGCCATCCACTTCCAGTATGCAATTTTGCTGGATTCTGAACTCTGCGTCGACTCCCTGGTGTGGGCATTTCTTGACAAAAGTGTTCATCCTTTGTCAAAAACAGCTTTTGATTTCAGTTTCTATGGGCTTCCGACGCCCCCGGCTCCTGAGTCGGATTTTCTCAAAAAAAAGCTTTGCAAAACATTGCATTCCATCGGTGCTGCCTTAGTTGGGTGGCCCCGGGGTGGTGTTTCAAAGGACTCGGCTCGGTTTCGTTTCGTCTCCAACATCAAGACGTCGACGTCGACGGCTCATGGGATCTAAGATTTCTGTGTTAGGAGGAATGGACATGGTAAAGATCACAGAACCTATGGACCTATGGTCAGCAACCATTCCAAGTTGAGAACATATTTGCTTTGTTCATGCCTTTCTTACAGGGTGTTGAGAGGATGTTTCTAGAAGACTTCACATTATGGGGAGATTGGCGCTTACTTAGCTTCATGTTGTGGCCAGACGACCACGAGCTCATCGACGAGCTCCACTGCGCCACGACCGGGATCGATTCGTTGCCGACGACGTTTCGAGTTTCGATCCCAAACACGTGGGCGAGTGGCTGACTGGGCAAAGACTGAGTGGGATCTCACTGGTTTAGGACTCTGAAGCCATTTTTTTGGCCTGGTTTGACTGGTGAAAAGAAGAAGTTAGATAAAGGGGCTTCACACTTGTTGGAACAGCACCTCTCTCATGCTTGACGCAGCGGAGATTCTCATGTCTGGAAATACCCTTCGCTCTGTGTAGACAACTGTTCGCTCTGTGTAACTGCGCATCGGTGCAACGCCCGAAGTTCACCAGCAAGTGCAAAACATGTGACCCTAAATACCGATGGTGAACTTCAAATCCACGATGTCAGGGAATGTATCAAGTAATGTATTTTTGAGGTCGCGAGAGTTTTTGTTGAGGTCGCCAACTGGATTTCATGAGCAGACATGCGCCTTTTTTGGAAAATCGCTTTTGGAAGACATCCTTTTGGAGAGTTCGTCGTCCGACTTGAGGGTGGAAGACTAAGTGTCTGACTCAACAGAAAGGCTCGACTTTCGCAGCGGCGAAAGCATTCTGTTCATTGGGGGTTCCACACCTATATAAAAATAGACCCTCCAGAACACTGTCAGGAGGGCACCCAAGAACGCAGACGTGTCTAGTAATGGCTCGCCCTAACGAGGCTCAAGTGGAGCTTCCCAAGCAAATACACGATTCCACATTGCCTCTTACACCTTTGTCCTGTGATGTTGCTTTCTTTCAAAGATCAGTGCACCCATGTTGAGCCCAGACTACCACGTCCTCATCGACCAGCTCTTCCTCTTCAAGTTCTACAACGGTGAGCAAAGGGTTTTAAATTCGATGTGCCGATGTGCCCCTTTTGTTTGCGTACGATTGATGCAGACTTTGCCCGTGTATCCCAAGTTTTTCCTTTGTCCATGTGCTGCTTCATAACAAAGGAGCTGTTGTCATGCCTTTATTTGCTTGGAACTATGTCACACCTGGACCTAGAAAGGGTTCTGTATGCAAGAAAGATGTAGTTGCCAGACCACCACATCTTCATCGTCCAGCTCCACATCTTCAACTTCCACGACGGTGGGCGAAGGGTCTTGAAATCCATGTTCTGTTTGCAAAGCATAGCTTCAGGTGTACAGGCAAAGGTTTACACATGATAGGTCAACATGAAACACAATTGCATTTGATGACATGGAATGTCATCCCATACATCAGTCGCTCTGAATCACTTGCAAAGAGCCAATTAGGCCAGATGTTAATCTTCATTGTTGGCCAAAACTAGCCAGCATAGAGGTTGCTAAGCAAAGAACGTCTTTCTTGGAGAATGTCAGGAGTATGTTTACAGCACATTTCGCATGATGATTTTGCAAATGGCAAATATTGGCACTCATTTCGCTACCTGCTTGCCCCATGTTGTGCCCAGACTACCACGTCCTCATCGACCAGCTCTTCCTCTTCAAGTTCCACAACGGTGAGCGAAGGGTTTAAGCTCTATGTGCCCTTTATGTTTGCGAACGATTGATGCAGATTTTGCCCGTTCATCCCAAGTTTTTCCTTAGTCCACGTGCTGCTAGCTTGCGTTGTTTACAACTATGTCACACCTAGAATGGGTTCTGTATGCAAGAAAGATGTAGTTGCCAGACCACCACATCTTCATCGTCCAGCTCCTCATCTTCATCTTCTACGACGGTGGGCGAAGGGTCTTGAAA